GCAGCTAATCTAGCTGTATGTAGTATGCTTTTAAAAAACTTTATTGTGTGTGTGTGTGTGTGTGTGTGTGTGTGTGTGTGTGTATGCGCACAGTATGTTTTGTGAAAGGAAAATCTCCTTGTACCTAAGTTCCTGCTGATTCCAGTCCGCTGTGCTCAGAGATGGACACGGCCACTGACACGGTTCTGCAGGTGCAGGGAACAAAGCTGCGGGCATGACCAAAGGACACTGACAAACAGCACGCTCTGCTGAGCACCAGCCATCACAAGCACAGCCAGCCAGACACCCTGCCCGGAGGAGCAGTGGGACACACTCACACAGCAGCCTACAGAGCCATGGAGAGAATTCACTCGAGAGGGTGGCAGCGAGAGCTTTTCAGCCCAGTGATGGAAGCCAAGGTACCATTTGTAGAAAGGTAGCCTAGGGCTGGGGAGACAGCTCAGTGGAATAAGTGCCTGCCTGGCAAGCGCAAAGTCCTGAGCTTGATCCCTGGTACCACCAAAAAAAAAGCTTAAACAGTACTCAGAAAAAGCTGAGTTTCACACTAACAGAATAAAAAGCAAAATAACTAAATAATGTTTAATTTCCAATGAAATCAGAATGGTTTTACATCATATTTATAATAAAAGTATTTTAGTATACATGAAACTGAATTTTATCTGAGAAATCTATATCTGATTTACATAAGTACCCATGAAGTAACTGAAAGTCAGACTAATAAAAATTAAGTCAAGCCTTCAAGGAGAATATACTTCCATAGGAACTTTACATTTGCAATCACATGTGATCGACAATGCCATATTTAATTAAGATGCTCATGTTGATAGAAATAATAACAGTTTATGGTGTATTTCATTTGCTATGGCTCATTGAATTTCATTATAACCTCTCTAGTACAGGTGAAGAAACTGAAGTTTAAACTTTTTTACAAATTTATTATAGTTTCATAGCTATGAAAAGGCCAAACTACACTTGAAATCAAGACAGTACAAGATGACTTGATTTCAGTATTGAATTCAGACCACACTATAAATTTATACATATTAAGTAGCTATGATGTTATACGATGTAAGCAGTAATGGCTAGAATTGTTTAGACTTAATTTCTCATAGATCAAAACAACAAAAACAGAAACAAAACACAATGTTTCTTCTCCCCAACCACTTACATTGCTACCTCAGCTCAAGAACAGCGTGTGGCCTAAGATTTTGGGGCTGGAGGCCACAGTTGTGTTTGTCACCTGATGTGGAATTTGTGAATGGGAGCAAAAATTTTTGAATGCTTTTATTTGAGAACTGAACTGTTTGTGAGCTCGTATGCCCTTATCGCTACACCTGCAGCGTTCTTAGTAAAGCCCACATAGCCCAAACAGTGCAGTACTTCAAAGCCTGCCTTTTCTTCACCCTGACTGCCAATCCTGTAAAGCAGTTTTATTTCCTTTTATACATGTCTCTGCACTTTTTAATCCATCTTCCCTGACGTGAGTAACTTGCAAACTGGGAATCAGATATATTTTTAAAAAACAATTATCTTTTATAAAAATTTTGAGCAGACATTGGATGGGGACGTGCAACTAGACCCGTTCACCCAGCTGAGTGAGCACACTGGCACATTTTAGGAAAAGCATTAGTGAGAGATTTCTGGTCAAAATTAAGATGGCATGATTCCTAAAGGTGCACTGAATTGGAATAAACCTTCCAATTCCTGTGGCTATTATAACCTGACAAATTTGGATCCAGTGTTTCCTGTGAATCCTCTCTCCTTCAGTGTTGTGTGTACTCTACTGTTAAAGGATGTTGGTGTAGACAGGCTGCGGGCAGCTGTGTTCTTTCAAACATGCATGAGGAAAAGGGAAAGTAAGGGGAAGAGGGAGAACAGGAGGAGGAAAGAGGTCCCAAAGTAGAGAACCAGTTCATCCCAACATGTACAGCGTGCATCGTAAAGAACTCCATGTGGCATCTCACTGATCCTCACTGAAGCAAGTTATGATATCATCCCCATTGTGCAGAGGAAGGTGCTGGGCAGAGTTGAGCACCTTGCCTGAGGTCACATTGCTCTTGAGTCAGGGAAGACATCCTGCAAACACAGCCTGCATTGCCTTTCTGCAGACTTTCCTTATAGAGCTCCTGCACTCTGTGACAAGATTCATTTGGTGCAAGGAAAGAGAAGACTTCGAGCACCAGCTGAACCTCTATCCAGCCCACACATAAAAGCAGTGCATAAGGAGTCACTGTGTAACACAGCAGAGCCAGAACTACTGGGTGTGTTTCCAGAGAGCAGCAAACACTGTACAGTGCCTCCCTGTCGCGCAGCCACAACACTCCTGAGCTACAACCACGTACGTGTCCTAGCCCTGAATTGCACAGATTGGTTCTGTGACCTCGATTAGACAACTCAGGCGATCTCTCATCACAGAATTCCCTGTTCCATGGAGCTGTTTTAGCACTAGTGAGAAAATGAGGGAGTGAGAGACTATACAGTGGTCAGGAACTGTCGGATTAAAGAAATGAAATTTTGTGTGCATCCATGGAAGGGGATTAAAGGTGTATATGCATGTGTGTGTGTGTGTGTGCGTGCGCGCATGCACACTCGCGCGTGCACACACACACACATGATTTTTTTCTGTACTTAGGAATGAGAGGAAGTACATTTTAAAAATGAAGGTAATTATGTTTTTAAAATACATTGAAGCTACTTGAATGTTTTGCATATATATAAATCTAGCTGACATCAGAAATTGCCATTGCTTGCCTTTGACATGCAGGATTTTATTTTGTTTTGTTTTGTTTCTAGGTAGGGTCTCACTACATTGCAGGCTGGCTTTGGACTCATTATTTAGCAAGTCAGACAGGCCTCAGATTAGCAATCCCACTGCCTCTGCCTCCTTGGAGTTGGGTTGCAGGCATGAACCCATACTTAGCTTAAATACCAGGATCTTGGTATCTTGCAAAGTTAATGTAAGTCTTGAAGACTAGCTCTCACATGTAAGCAAATTTGGAAAATGTCCATCAGAGCAAAAGAATAATAAAAATTGGACAATTCCTGTTTCTGATATGTTCTAAGACATTAAGAAAAAACATTAAGAGATGGAACAAATAGAGATTTGAAGTTGTAGCTTTGACTTCTGTTTTAGGGGTTCTTTATAAAGCTGCAAGCACACTTGGTGGCATTTTTTAGCAATGAGCAAGAATGTCCTAAGAGACCAATGAAGTCCAGAAGCTCCCAGGCAGGCATTTCTTCACCTCCACGCCACAAGCACTCTGCACACGCACCACTTTCATTTTTTATGTCCTCAGGTGCTGTTTAATTTTTGATGAGCACCCTGGACTGTGTTCCTTTGTGGAGGTCAGCTTGGAGCCATCACTGCTGAGTTTAGACTCTGAATCCCTAGGTATCTGCCTTGGTAGAAAGTCATGTGCTCTGCAGTGTAGGAAAATGAGCCACTTATTTCTTCTGATTTTTTTTTTCTTTTTTTGCATTTCAGGGAAGGTTCTACAAGGTGTTCAGGGTCTCACTACTAGATTGGACTCATAGTGATCTGCCTGCTTACAGCCTCCTGGGTGCTGGGGTTACAGGCGTGCACCACACGCCCAGTCTCAATTGCCCTCTCAGCATACCCTGGGAGCGGGGCGGGCACAGCAGGCCCAGGGATCAAACTCCCAACCCCTGCACCTGCCTGCAGACACTTTAATCCACTGAGCTATTTGGCTGGCCCTATTTCTTCTGATTGATATGTTAATCATATGCTCAAGTATGTTACAAAATATTTGAGCACATACTACCTTTACACGCCCCTAATTTTTCACAGCTCTTAAGGCTGAGCTGAACCATAGCAGCGCCACATGCATATTAATTGTTATGAACTGGAGGAGCAGACAGTCCACCTTTTGACTTTAAACACAATTTGCAAAACAACTGACCAAGAATTTCCAAGGGTGAGTGCGTACACCTGTCCCATGGTTCTGAAGTGACCCAGGACTGGCTCAGCGGGCTGTGGTTCCTCCTGGCCCAGTGGACACTGATCCCAGCCCCGATGCAGAAGTCACGATCACCTACCAAGTGATCACTTCAGGCACAGATGTGCTCTGCCAGTCGTGCAAGCTGTGTCCTTCCTACAGGTGCTCCAGGGTAGGTGGCACTCGCTACATAGCTATATCGTGGTGCTTCTTTTAAGAGCAGTTGAAAGTAAAAGCAGCATGAGCACGTATTAGAAATGCACGAAGTAGGAGAAGATACATCTCTGAAGTCTGATTTCCTTCCCCAGGTTTGAATTCCTTCCCTGATTGTATTCCAATCTTAGAACTACTTCATCTTGTGATTTAGTTCATGCATCAGGCCTTAGAAATCTTTCATAAATACTTATTCTTCTAATAAGAAAATTTTAATAAATTTTGTAAGCAAATGTTTATAAATGTGTATTTATAAAAGCATTATGCGTAGGTGCACTCTAAATTAGGGTATATTTTCATATAAATATTACATGTTCATCAAAATATATAAATGTCTCTCCCTTATTCACAGATACATGTACCTAGTGTCTATCACCACCTTTTCTCTATGGGTGGTATTCTAATTTTTTATTCTTTTGAAAACATGAAAGTAAGTGATCTTAATTCCTATATTAAGTTCCTATATTTATAGTACTAATTTCTAGATGTGAGTTTACTTAGGAATGAGAATTTCATTTTGAAACTTTATAGACAGGCCTCATGGCATTTTTTTTTTTTTTTTTTTCCTTGCGGAACCAGGGATTGAACTCCGGCCTTTGTGCTTGCCAGGGAAGCGCTTATCCCACTGAGCCGTCTCCCTGGCCCCTCATGGCATTTCTGCACTAACTCTTTTCCTTGGCAGCACCCTGCACTTCTGCTCACCACAGCAGACACACCATTCCACAGGACGTGCTACCCTCCCTCAGTGAGGTGGGGACTCCAACAAGCCAGGGCCGCACCCACGTGCTGCACCCACATCCCCTAGCCCACGCCTCTCCGGGATGTACTCACGCTGATGTCTTCCAAGTCTAAGTTATTGAGAACAATGTTGTTCCTCTTCCAGATGATGGGGGGCCGGGGCTCTCCCTGCACAGCGCAGCTCAGGACCACGCTCTGCCCCACGGTGGCCACGGTGAGGCGCACTCTCTGGTCCTCAGGCAGGCTCAGCTGGATCACCTCTGCACAGAGAGAAACAGCATGGCGGTGAGCAGCGGATGTGCAGGGCTGGTTACCACAGAGCTCTTCCATGCTGGGCACTGGCCCATTTAATTTGAATAAAAGTTAAAAATAAAAAGCTTGAAGTGAAATGAAGAAAGAGAAAATTGTTTCCAATAAAAGATAGAATGGCATTTCAACTTAATTGATTGATAAACACTCTCATAAGGCAAGAAACTATTACACATGACATGAATATCAGAAGCAAGTTATAATAAGCCTGGCAGATTGCATCCAAAGAGAGACGAATTATTTAACTGTCGAGCTGACATGGAGTGTGTCACAAGCATTGAAATGAAGACCGTGTTGTTTATTCTCTGACAGCTTTCTACTGCGGTGAGCTGAGGCCGGGCTGGCCAGCACGGAGAGCAGGGGTGCAGCTGAGTAAGTGCGACGCGCAGTAATGCGCAAGATGCGAACAGACACAGAGGTGCAGCTTATCTGGGAAGTCAAGGGGGCAGGGAGAAGAGGGAGCAAGGACACTCATCCAACAGCAATTGAAGAAAATTCTGCCAGCTGTCTTTATAGGAGTACCAGAGTGTTGGTAAAAGCACTCACTGGTCCTTACATTATAAATGTAGATATACTTTTAATTAACCAATATACATGTTTCTGTTAGTAACCGTGTGGAGCCATGCACATATTACTTGACACCTGGGTCTGGCTTGCCTTTCTGTTGTAGCCAATCTAAAGCAAAATTGAGAATTAACAGCTGTCTCTGCCATCTTGCATGGGAGATTCTTGCTGCCCCCCCCCCAGTAGTCTCCATCCTGTGTCCCCCCACTGAGGCTCACAGGCAGCAACTTCTCTGCATTCACTGGAACTGAATCTTGTACTGCGACTTCTGTTGGACATTTCCCCTTAGCCCTGTCATGCACGACTCTTCTAATTTAAATTCTGGTATGCAAGCTCAGCATAATTGTCTTTTTGGGGGCCGGGAGATAATTCGGTGGTTTAAGCACCTGCCTGGCAAGCCCAAGGACCTGGGTTCAATCCCCAGTACCACATGTCCTCCGGCCCCACCCTGGACCCACTGAGCCTGCTACTGAAACTGGGTGTAGTAGTGCACTCTTGTAATCTCAGCACTGGGGAGACTGAAACAGGAGGATCACGAGGAGTGTGAGCTGTGTAGTGAGACCCTGTGCTAAATAAATAAATTTAAAAACTAACACTAATTGTCTGACCCTCTTAATATAGTGGTTATTTTTCATGTGGAGTTGAGTGCAGAAGACAGGCGTCTACGTTGGAATAAACATGATGACGCTCAGTCACTTCAGGTCTTCCAGGGATGCCCCTTCTCCGCCACTGTTCTGTCCTCCATTTTTCTAGTTTTAATCCAGGCTAATCTCAAGAAGAAAGACGCCAGTCAAGCCAGTGTCACAGAACAGAACTACTTGGCCAGCTGTGCTGTGGTGTTGGGGTCACCACGAATCGCAGCGCAGAGACCGCCGCCGTGGCGCCGGCGTCAACAGTGAGTGGGATGCCTACGCTCCCCGGGCTTCTCCTGCCTCTGGCTCTGTGTGTTCTGGGTGACCTTCAACCTGGCCGACGGATTGTTACTGATGAAAATAAGCCAGAGGGGACTGACGCTTGTATTCTGCTATACAGCATGCCCTTTCCAAACGCTAAAGATACGTGAGTCATGACGTGTTGCCAAAGAAGGTCAGGGACACCTTCGACACTGAACGCCCCCATCAGAGGCTGGGCAGAAACGCATTTCTTGGGTCACCCCGTCCGCAAAGTCCAATGTGGGTGACGAAATGCGCCAGGAGCGCCTTGTTACCTGTGTGTGTGCTTAGTGAATGTCCCTTAACAATGGCTGCTCACAGCTCGTACCTGTACTCTCTTTCAAAGTTTCCTGAGTAATACAAACAGAGATAGTATTTTCAATCTGCTTTTCTTTAATATATAGGTTTGAATGAACATACATGCTCATATGCATAATCACACACATATAACATATATCAATATGTATAATTAAAACAATTCAATCAATTAGGATGGGAAGAATGTGACGTTTCAGATTTTCAGATGAGCTGCTCAGTTTTTATCAAAATTATAAGTTTATGGAAAGTGTGAAGACTATAAAAGTAACAGTATCATGAAGCACGTGAGGATTATTTTATGTTTATAATATCAGAATTATTATTTTTCCATTTACGTTGCTGATTACATTTTCTAATTCTTCATCAATTCTTGCAAGAGGCAATGAGACCTCTAACCCTAAAATCAGAGGTGCTAGCACTGGTATCCCGACACTTAGAGCTCCTCTTGCTTCCAGGCACCCTGGAATCCCTTCCCTGGACCCCTGCATCTGGTGTCCTTTCAAGCCATTTGGATTATTTCTTTTCTTAAAAGTACATATTATAATACTAATTAAATAACCTGATCATCTTAAAGTAAATTGTGGGCCAGCCAGATAGCTCAGTGGATTAAAGCTTCTGCGTAGGTAGACTCAGGATGAAGGGACTGGGGTTTGAGCCTCAGTGTGCCATGCTGGCCCCTCCCCCGGAGCACACTGAGATTGGGATTGAGACTGAGCATGATGGTGCGCACCTCTAATTCCAGTGCTTGGGACGCTGAAAACAGGAGGATCATGACAAGTCTGAGCTATGTAGTGAGACCCTGTAGACCCCATACTAAATACATTAAAAAAATCTTGGTAATATATATTACTTAATATCTGTATATATTTGAAAATTATTTAGCCCATTTAGTGTATATTCTACCTGCATGTCCCACTTCTTCCTTGATGCATTATATAAAGGACAAAACCAATTCTTTTAACTGTCACTACTGCAAGCGTAAATTAAGTGGTTCTCCCTTAAAGAAATGTAGCAAACATTATTTTCATACAAAATGGTCACGCTGATTTTTGTAACTTTTATAGTTATTAACAAATGGGTCCTTTGCATATTCTTAAAGGCACCCGAAGGATCCGGAGGCAGTGACTCCACCGGTGAGATGAAGAGACCCGGCGCTCAGCACTGAAGCTGCAGTGCTCACTGCTGTGGGGCCTGCCCTGCACCCCGGGCTACGTGTGAGGCCTGGGAACTCTAATGTCATTTTCCACCGGGGACATGACACTGGTGAATGAATGTGGTACTTCCCTTTCTGCGGTGGAAATTTAAAGTGTCACGCTTGGTGAGTACATGGGTGGGCTGCAGACTACCATCACTTAGCTGTCTCATAAAAACTAAAACTTTCCTTTCAGAACAAGTTAATATTATGATAGGTATCTAAGCATTACTGTGTATATTTGCACTATTTACCACACTATCCCTTGTAATATGGCACAAAAAATGAAATCAGCATATTGAGAAGCAACAGTAGCAGCCACATTGGCATGTACTGTAAAATTTAATGTTTGTGAAAATAAAAAACTAGTGTAAAGGCTTCTGCAAGGAAATAAAGTCCTTTAATAAAATTACATCTTAAGCTTGTAAAGGAACTAAACAGAAATTAGAGAAATAGAAATTATATTAACTAAAGCTAATGATTGAATTTATGTTCTTAAGATCAAATTATATACAAAAGAAAGGAGTCTTAGAAAAAAAGTGATTAAGTGATCTTTCATAAAAAACACAAAAGCTGAAAGCCAGATTGGCCATAATAGGAATCTAACCAAGACAGGCTCATGTGGAACTCCAGAATCAAAGAACAGAGGAAGTGTGAAAGAGACAACATTTGAAAGAACAGCAGATAATTTTTTCCAAAAATGTAAAAGTCAATCAGTAGTAGACTCAAGGTCTACTAGTAGACTAGTAGACTCAAGGTCTAAATCCCAAGCAAAGCCAACGTCCCTATCTAGATACTTAAAAGTGAAACTGAAGAAAATGACATAAAGAGAAATGTCATAGTTATACAAATTGAGAAGTACAAATTGACTCACTAGTAAGGAGAATTAGGAAACATTTTATAAAAATATAAAAAAAAAACCAATGGTACAATTTCCTCCAAGTGAAAAGACAAAATAATAATTAATCTTAGAATTTTACACACATACTTAAATACTACAATAAAATATATAACTTTTTAAATGAAGGACAAAAGCAAATAAAAGGAAGGAGGGAAAGAAGGAAAGAATGAAGGAAAAGAGTAAGGGGGGAGCGAGGGTTTCTCCGGCAACTTTGTCTTACAGTAATTTCTAAGAGGGTTTCTCGGCCGAAGCCAACCGTCCTATGTAGAAGCTTAAAGATGAAGAAGGAAGGCACCGACAGCACTTTCACACAAACACTGACGCTTAACGCTAGACACTGAACTTCTGCAATGCCTGACAATGTGTATTTTTATTCAACTTTAGAAGAGAAAAAAAATTCTGAAAGCATAAAAAGCTGACCATGAAAGAATCATTTCTGAGTCTGACCGTATTATAGTTTATATCCATTCATCAAAATATAGTAAAGTGAACAAAACCACAAGCCAGCTAGCAGGATTTCTACCCCTGGCACAACTAACAAGGGCCGGCCGGCCTGCCGGCTCAGCGGCCTGCAGCCTCCCAGGCGCCGCGCAGCCGCAGGGTTCCACCCGCCGGCCCGCCCCGGGGCTCCGAGACTTCCACAGCCCGGCGTGCGGCGGCGCCTGCAGTGCGGCGCCTGGGAGGCTGCAGACAGCAGGGCCACGAGGAGTCTGAGCTGTGCAGTGAGACCCTGCAGGCCCCGAACGGATGGATGCAGAGAAGAAAGGCTTTCACCAACGCTCGGGAGTGCGCGCATCAATACGGCGGCGACACATAGTCTCAGAAATGTGCGCACGTGCTAGCGCGACCAGCACCTCGAAGCTCAGCCCGGACCTCCAGGCTGGCAGGCGTGCAGAAGCCGGCAAACCCAAGCGCTCAGGGTCCGGGAAAGAGTACATCCCGCGGCGGTTCGTCGCGGCACGAGCGCAGGGCGCGCCTCATCCACGGCCGGCCGGGAGCGCGGGCAGAGCCCGCGGGAGGGCACGAGCGGGCAGCGCTGCGGGG